GACAAAGACCCCACCAAAAAGGAGAATTACAGACCAATATCCCTGATGAACATGGATGCAAAAATTCTCAACACGATACTAGCCAATAGGATCCAAAACACATTAAGAAAATTATTCACCATGACCAAGTAGGATTTATCCCTGGGACACAAAGCTGGTTCAACACTCGTAAAACAATCAATGTGATTCATCATATCAGCAAGAGAAAAACCAAGAATCATGTGATCCTCTCATTAGATGCACAGAAAGCATTTGACAAAATACAGCATCCATTCCTGATCAAAACTCTTCAGAGTGTAGGGATAGAGGGAACATTCCTCGACATCTTAAAAGCCATCTACGAAAAGCCCACAGCAAATATCATTCTCAATGGGGAAGCACTGGGAGCCTTTCCCCTAAGATCAGGAACAAGACAGCGATGTCCACTCTCACCACTGCTATTCAACATAATACTGGAAGTCCTAGCCTCAGCAATCAGACAACAAAAAGACATTAAAGGCATTCAAATTGGCAAAGAAGAAGTCAAACTCTCCCTCTTCGCCGATGACATGATACTCTACATAGAAAACCCAAAAGCCTCCACCCCAAGATTGCTAGAACTCATACAGCAATTTGGTAGCGTGGCAGGATACAAAATCAATGCCCAGAAATCAATGGCATTCCTATACACTAACAATGAGACTGAAGAAAGAGAAATTAAGGAGTCAATCCCATTTACAATTGCACCCAAAAGCATAAGATACCTAGGAATAAACCTAACCAAAGAGGTAAAGGATCTATTCCCTAAAAACTGTAGAACACTTCTGAAAGAAATTGAGGAAGACACAAAGAGATGGAAAAATATTCCATGCTCATGGATTGGCAGAATTAATATTGTGAAAATGTCAATGTTACCCAGGGCAATTTACACGTTTAATGCAATCCCTATCAAAATACCATGGGCTTTCTTCAGAGACTTAGAACAAATTATTTTAAGATTTGTGTGGAATCAGAAAAGACCCCGAATAGCCAGGGGCATTTTAAGAAAGAAAACCATATCTGGGGGCATCACAATGCCAGATTTCAGGTTGTACTACAAAGCTGTGGTCATCAAGACAGTGTGGTACTGGCACAAAAACAGACACATAGATCAATGGAACAGAATAGAGAACCCAGAAGTGGACCCTGAACTTTATGGTCAACTAATATTCGATAAAGGAGGAAAGACCATCCACTGGAAGAAAGACAGTCTCTTCAATAAATGGTGCTGGGAAAATTGGACATCCACATGCAGAAGAATGAAACTAGACCACTCCCTTGCACCATACACAAAGATAAACTCAAAATGGATGAAAGATCTAAATGTGAGACAAGATTCCATCAAAATCCTAGAGGAGAACACAAGCAACACCCTTTTTGAACTTGGCCACAGTAACTTCTTGCAAGATACATCCACAAAAGCAAAAGAAACAAAAGCAAAAATGAACTATTGGGACTTCATCAAGATAAGAAGCTTTTGCACAGCAAAGGATACAGTCAACAAAACTCAAAGACAACCTACAGAATGGGAGAAGATGTTTGCAAATAACATATCAGATAAAGGGCTAGTTTCCAAAATCTATAAAGAACTTATTAAACTCAACAGCAAAGAAACAAACAATCCAATCATGAAATGGGCAAAAGACATGAAGAGAAATCTCACAGAGGAAGACATAGACATGGCCAACAAGCACATGAGAAAATGCTCTGCATCACTTGCCATCAGGGAAATACAAATCAAAACCACAATGAGATGCCACCTCACACCAGTGAGAATGGGGAAAATTAACAAGGCAGGAAAGAACAAATGCTGGAGAGGATGCGGAGAAAAGGGAACCCTCTTACACTGTTGGCGGGAATGTGAACTGGTGCAGCCACTCTGGAAAACTGTGTGGAGGTTCCTCAAAGAGTTAAAAATAGACCTGCCCTACGACCCAGCAATTGCACTGTTAGGGATTTACCCCAAAGATTCAGATGCAATGAAACGCTGGGACACCTGCACCCCGATGTTTCTAGCAGCAATGTCCACAATAGCCAAACTGTGGAAGGAGCCTCGGTGTCCATCGAAAGATGAATGGATAAAGAAGATGTGGTTTATGTATACAATGGAATATTACTCAGCCATTAGAAACGACAAATACCCACCATTTGCTTCAACGTGGATGGAACTGGAGGGTATTATGCTGAGTGAAGTAAGTCAATCGGAGAAGGACAAACAGTGTATGTTCTCATTCATTTGGGGAATATGAATAATAGTGAAAGGGAATATAAGGGAAGGGAGAAGAAATGTGTGGGAAATACCAGAAAGGGAGACAGAACTTAAAGACTTCTAAATCTGGGAAATGAACTAGGGGTGGTGGAGGGGGAGGAGGGCGGGGGGTGGGGGTGAATGGGTGACGGGCACTGAGGGGGACACTTGACGGGATGAGCACTGGGTGTTATTCTGTATGGTGGTAAATTGAACACCAATAAAAATTAATTTATTAAAAAAAATAAAAAATAAATAAAATCAATTAATTAATATATAGTGTATTATTAGTTTCAGAGGCAGAGTTTAGTGATTCATCAGTTGCATATAACACCCAGTGCTCATTGCATCATATGCCCTCCTTAATGCCCATCACCCAATTGCCCCATCCTCCCACCCAGTTCCCCTCCAACAATGCTTAGTTTGTTTACTAGAGTTAAGAGTCTATTATGATTTGTCTCCCTCTCTGATTTCATCTTATTTTATTTTTTCCTCCCTTCCCCTATGATACTCTGCTTTGTTTCTTAAATTCCGCATGAGTGAAATCATATGAAAATTATCTTTCTCTGACTTATTTTGCTTAGCATAATACTCTCTAGTTCTATCCACATTGTTGCAAATGATAAGATTTCATTTTTGATGGCTGAGTAATATTCCATGGTGTATTTATATATGTTTATATACATATACATATATATATACACATATACACATACATATGTATACATACATATGTGTGTGTGTATATACACAACACACACACACATATATATATATATACACACACACACATCTTCATCCGTTGATGGGCATCAGAGCTCTTTCCTTATTTTGGCTATTGTGAACGTTACTACTATAAACATTGGGGTTTAGGTGCCTCTTTGGAATCACTATGTTTGTATCTTTTGGATAAAAAAAAACCCAGAACATTAAGACATTTGTTGATTATATTGCTATTCTACCATAAGATCTGATGCTTTTGTTCTGAGAACTAGAAAGAAATATAATGAGGGATATTCATAAGGAAAGTAGAGAAAAGGGCCTATTTAATAGGAGCAGGACGGGTGTTAGACAGACATATATCATAAATGAAGTATTTTGACCACAAATGGATAATTGTTTAAGATAAGCATATGATGATTCATCATAGAACTTTTATTTTGTATACAGCTTATATTTTTATAATTAAAAGGTCATCTGTATACACATATATCGAATTACTTGTATGCATTTATAAGTATACTTATGCTTACATGTATGTGTATATATATGAAAGATCTTTGTATAGCTCCAACTTATATGATACAGCATAATTGATTCTATTCAAATTTATAGTAGCACATGCACAAAATGATTAAGAAGTTAACATTTTTTTCTTTTTTTTTCCCACACAGTACTTACAACCATATTTTAGGACAATTTTTCACTTTTAATTCAGAAAGAGATGATCTAATCTAACCATTAGTTTCTCAAAACTCTGGAAAAATTCTTATGCCCGAATTGATCATTTAAGTCATAAAATCACATTAATACCTTGCAGTTTTTTTCACCACTCAGTGGAATTTTCTGTGCTGTGATAAGGTGGAAGTACTGTGGTTTGTGTTAAGCTTCTTCATAAGGTGAGATTACAATAACATTTGTCATATCTTTCTCAGGAATCAGAACTGACTGTACATCTCCAATTTTGGTTCTAAAGTGATAACTTAGGACATGTCTAAATTTTTCAGTTGTATAGGAGAATTTTATCCACAAGAATCAAGACCTTCCTTCTTTGATCAGGTGTGTTTTTGTGTGTGTTTGTGTTTCTAACAACTGTTATTCAAAAAAATAAGAAATTTTTGAGGTTTCAAACTCAAGAAAGTTTCCAAAAATATTTACACCATAAGATAATTTTAATTGCTTCTTAAGTGTTTGAATTGCTTCTTACTTCTGAGATATACACTGTTGTTCACTGTATTCAATAATGAGTAGGCAGGATATACTTACTGAAGAATAAGAAGTTGTGATGCTGCTGTAAGATGGAGTCTTGTCATTAAACAAAACTAGAAGAAAGAATCTTCATTTGAGATTAGAGGATTGAATTTCCATATGAATTCTCACAAATGAGTTTTCTGCTCCTGTACAGGGCACTTACCTTCTGTGATACAGAACTTTACTTGCAAAATGAAAAACATGTTGTTACTTCCTACTACCACGATCAAATATGAAACAGCTTTTTTTTTAAATCTATGCACTATGTATACTTATTAGCCATTTTTTTTCTGATAGCTCTTCTGGACATTATAAGATGTTACTATATAAATGAATATGAGATTATTTTTGCTAATAATGATGGTGATGATAACTTATAAATGATGATAATGTTGACAGTATAGACAGAAGTTGAATTAATATGTACTAGGAAAAAACATTTTAAAAAATCCATATATCTTACTCAAATTTGCCTTGCAAAAAAATATTGTCACCAAATAAAATAAAATAACTATAAATAGAGAACTATGTGTGTGTCATTCAAGGTCAGTGATGGAAAATATTTTTGATTAAGTAATTTAATGTGGGTGAATTAAAAATACCCAGTATATTTTTGAAATAATTATTTATTATTTTATAACCAAGAGAAATGTAAAAAAATAATTTTCCTGGCTTTATATGAACTCTTATTTTCATTTTTTCCCCTTTGTATATATGAATGGGAGAAATATTTTTGTATTGTCATTTTTCTAAGGAAGATATAGATCATCTTCAAAATGAAGATTTTGGATTAATCTTTAGGGTAAACAGTCATAACTAAACAATGAAGTTGGTCCAAGATCGGTGGGCTCATCACAGCATGGGTAGGTACTTTCTATATATATATTTTTTAATATTTTATTTATTTTTTCATGAGACACACAGAGAGAGGCAGAAACACAGGCAGAGGGAAAAGAGGCAGGCTCCATGCAAAGGAGCCTGATGCGAAATTCGATGCTGGGAACCTGGTTTCACTCTGAGCCAAAGGCAGATGCTCAACTGTTGAGCCACCCAGGTGTCCCAGTACTTTCTATATAAATGTGCAATTTGGTCTGTGCATAATTTTAAGATACTAAGAATTTGATACAAGCATACAAGCCATAAGAAAGCAAATTATTCTGATTCTTATGTTCATTTCATGTTATATTTTAAATGGATTTTTCAAAACTTGAAAGCTTTTTTCCTCCTTTGTTTCATTAAACACCTAAAGTAAAATCTTTCACAATTTAAGATAGCCTGAAAGAGTGACAGTATAAGGATTTGCAGTTAGAAGAATTTTAATCAAATATCATAATTTTACCAGTCTTTAGCTTTGAGATCTGGGATAATCCACAGCTTCTATGTGCTTAAGTTTCCCTTTTCTACCAAATGGAGATATGAAACATGCTATATTTACATGAGTAGATTTCTATCTCTGGCATTATATTAAATACACAATATGATTTTGGCCACCTGTAATATTCCATTTCTTCATCCATAAAGCAATACCTACCCTCTTCACATGTTTGATAATTAAATTACATATGGTGTGTATAAACAATATTTTAGTTTAATTTTAGGTATAAAAGATAATTAGTACTAACATTTTATTATAAAAAGTTTTTACATATTTAGTAATGATTGTTATTTCAGGAAGACAGCATATTATTTAATTCACTTTTAAAGATACTTATAATAAGCTGTGTTAATATCCTTTGTTCTTTTCTTTTCTCTTCCTTCCTTCCTTCTTTTTTTATAATTTGTAAAATTATTAATTTAGCAAGTGTCACTCTATGAATTAAGCACATGTCTAATTCCCTAAGCCCCTGTCCTTGTTACTATACACTGTCTCCATATTAATGATAGATTTCATTATACATTAAGAATTAACTTACTTTATAAGATCTTACTAGGGGATCCCTGGGTGGCGCAGGGGTTTAGCGCCTGCCTTTGGCCCAGGGCGCTATCCTGGAGACCCGGGATCGAATCCCACATCAGGCTCCTGGTGCATGGAGCCTGCTTCTCCCTCTGCCTATGTCTCTGCCTCTCTCTCTCTCTCTCTCTGTGTGTGACTACCATAAATAAATAAAAATTAAAAAAAAAGATCTTACTGAAGATATTTCAAGAGAATAAATATAATTTTATTCATATTACAAAGTGCAAAAATCATAACGAAGTAATATAAAACAAAGTAACTTGATGTTATACTTTTAAAAGATATGAATAGTATGACAAGTTAAATTGTAAAAAATTATGATCCAAAAGACTGAAAGGCTATGATTCTTATTGGCCTGAATTGTTTTTCACCAGAGATGAATGAAATCCTTAATTATAACTCCGACCTGGTAACACATGGTACTTCACCACGAAGGCAAAAGAGAAAGCCTACATTAATCACCAGCAAATGTGGAGAAAACTGTAAGTTCAATATTTCATTTGTCTTCTCTCAATATACTGAAATGAATCTTGAAATATATGATTAGATAAGTGATAAACATGCAATTTTATCCTGATGAAGAAAGCAGAAATGAAATTAATTCTAATATAATAATGGAATATATAATAAAATTAGCAGAAACTGTTCAGTTTAGGGTTGTTTTTTTTTTCGTGTCATACAAATGAGATTATCACTAACAGAGTGATGACAATTGAGACAGGAGTTTCTTGATTTGTTTTCACGTTTTTATTTAAATTCCAATTAGTTAACATACAGTGTAATATTAGTTTCAGTTTAGAATTTAGTGATTCAATACTTACATACAACACCCAATGCTCATCACAAGGGCCCTCAGTCTTGATCACCCATTTAACCCATCTCCCCAACTCCCCGCTCCCCCCCCCCCCGTAACCATCAGTTTGTACTCTATAGATAAGAGTCTGTTTCTTGGTTTGCCTCTTTTTGTCCCCTATAGTCATTTGTTTAGTTTCTTAAATTCCACATATGAGTGAAATATGATATTCATCTTCCTCTGATTGATTGATTTCATTTGGCATAATACTCTTTCATAATATATATATGTATAAATTATTCCACTATATATTGTATAAAATATATATAAAATGAAAAGATCCAAATGTCCATTGACTGATGAATGGACATTCAGGTTCTTTTCATAATTTGGCTCTTGTTGATAATGCTGCTATAAACATCAGTGGTCACATCCCTTCAAATTATGTTTTTAGCCTTTGGGTAAATACCTAGTAGTGTAATTGTTGCATGGTAGGATAGTTCTATTTTTAGCTTTTTGAGGAACCTCCACACTGTTTTCCATAGTGGCCACACCAGTTTGCATTCCTACAACAATGCATGAGGGTTCCCCTTTTTCCAATTCCTCGCCAACATCTGTTGTTTCCTCTATTGTTCATTTTAGCCATTCTGACTGGTGTCGGATGATATCTCATTGTAGTTTCCATTTGTATTTCCCCAATGATGAGTGATGTTGGGCATTTTTCATGTATCTATTTACACATGTCAACAGATGTCTCTTTGGAAAAGTGGATATCTCTTTGGAAAAATGTCTATTAATGTTTTCTGCCCATTTTTAAAGTGGATTATTTGGGTGTGGAGTTTTCTAAGTTCTTCATAGGCTATGAATACTAATCCCTTATCAGACATGTCATTTGCAAATATCTTCTCTTATTCCATAGGTTGCCTTTCAGTTTTTGTTGATTGTTTCTTTCACGATACAGAAGCTTTTTATTTTGATAAGTTCTGGTAGTTTGTTTATGCTTTTGTTTCCCTTGCCTCAGGAGATGTACTAGTAAGAAGTGGCTATGGCCAATGTCAAAGAGGTTATTGACTCTGTTCTCCTCTAGGATTTTCATGGTTTCCTGTCCCACATTTAGGTCTTTCATTCATTTTGAATTTATTTTTGTGTATGGAGTAAGAAAGTGGTCCAGTTTCATTCTTCTGCATGTTGCTGTCCAGTTTTCCCAACACCATTTGTTGAAGAAACTGTCCGTTTTCCATTGGATACTCTTTTTCTGCTTTGTCAAAGATTAGTTGACCATAGAGTTCTGGGTTCATTTCTGGGTTTTCTGTTCTATTGTATTGATCTATGTGTCTGTTTTTGTGCCAGGACCATACTGTCTTGATCACTACAGCTTTGTAATATAATTTGAAGTCTGGAATTGTGATGCCTCCAGCTTTGCTTTTCTTTCCCAAGATTACTTTGGATATTCGGGTCTTTAATGGTCATATACAAAATTTAGAATTGTTTGTTCTAGCTCTGTGAAAAATACTGTTAATATCTTGCTAGAGATTGCATCGAATGTGATACAGTAGCTTCAAAGGGAGCACTGAACAACTAACTGTAAGGAGGAATAAATAGAAATGGAAACAAAAAGTAAGTGGGAAATATCAGAAAGGGAGACAGAACATGGAAGACTCCTAACTCTGGGAAACGAACTAGGGGTGGTAGAAGGGGAGGGGTGGGGGTGACTGGGTGGCGGGCACTGAGGTGGGCATTTGATGGATGAGCACTGGGTGTTATTCTGTATGTTGGCAAATTGAACACCAATTAAAAATAAATTTATTATTAAAAAAAGAAATGGAAACAAAAGAGAAGGGAAATATAAAATATCTTTTAGAGTTTTGTTCTTAAACAGTGTGAAAGCAACAACTTGATTGCCATTCACAGAAATGTTTCAGAATGCACTGAAGATAAGCATTCTGTCTTTTATAAAACCAGAATATCATTGAAAATAGTGCCTGAAATAGCTCACAGCAGAAAGGAAAACAACAGATTCTTCCCACCTATGAATTTTCATTAAATGTTAAAAAAATAAATGATTATTAAATAATATCACTTTATAAGAGTTGATTATAGGAATGGAAATGTACTGTATTCAGTAATCAAAGGGGAAAGATTGTACTATCATATGCATAATGTTGAAAAAGTTTTGGATAAAAAGTCACTGAGTTCTTAATTAAAAAGAACTTAATATTTAAGACCTCTAAAATATACATATGTTTTTCAAATGTATATTTATTCAGAAACTATCATTATACTTACTGACAAATGATAGCAGCATTTTCATTATAGTTAGAAAAGGCAAGAATTTTTACTATCATTGCTGTTGTGTAATATTTATTGTTCTGCTGGTGTTACCAACATGAATAATCAAGAAAAGGAAAAAAGGCAAGTAATATGAAATTAGAATAAACAGGCAAAATGAACATTATTTGAAAAAAATTGTGATTTAAGATGTTTTTTAAAGCTTCATTCAAAATATGACAAATAATAAGGAAATCTGATATGAGGACTTGATTGCAAATAAGATATAAAAATCAATTGCTTAGAGTGCCTGGGTGGCTCAGTTAATTAAACATCTGCTTTTGGCTCAATTCATGATGCTGGGGTCCTGGGATCCATCCCTGCACAGGGCTCCCTGCTAATCGGGGAGCCTGCTTCTCCCTCTGCCTGCCACTCCCCCTGCTTGTGCTGTCTCTCTCTCTGTCAAATGAATAAATAAAATCCTTTTAAAAATCAATTGCCTTACTAACTACAAAAACAAGAAAAATATGATGAAATAAAAATGCCATATACATATGACCAAAAATTTTTTAAAAAGACAGAAGTAAACTTTTTGATTAAAAACTCTAGAAGTAAACCTATTGAAGTTGTATTGATGAACATAAAATAAGATGTATAATGGGAAAAGACATTTTAAAGATGTAAATTATCTCCCGATATTTATGCATTTAATGTGACTATTGAAAGATTAATTACCATAATTTAAAAGTAGCAATTTCTTGAAAAGCTTATTTAAAGTTCTTAGGGTACATAAGGAATATAGGAATAAATGAAAATACATATAGGAATGTATTACATGCTAAAAATGTTATTTCATATCAATGAGAACACGTTGATTTATTTAGTAAATAATATTAGAAAAATTCAGTGCCAATTTGGGGACAAATTATAAATTTGAATTTCTACCTCATTTATTACACACACACACACACACACACACACACACACACACACAGATACCAAATAGGCCAAGTAAAAAAGGAATCCATATAACATGATGACACATGAGCATTTACTTTATAAACTTAGAATAAAGAAGACAATTTATTCATATTCAAAAAGAAAATCAGCCATAATAGAAACTTTGATCAAGTCAACCATTACTCATTTCAGCACCCCTAAGATTCCATAATGTTAAAGCAGAAATATCTGAGATGTGTATTTGCAAAATATATAGTAAGGAATGGACTAACATTCTTTTTTTTTTATAAATTAATTTTTATTGGTGTTCAATTTACCAACATACAGAATAACACCCAGTGCTCATCCCGTCAAGTGTTCCCCTCCGTGAACTAACATTCTTAACCCAAAATGTAAGAAAGAAACCAGCTACTCAATACAAACTCAAGAGAAGTCTCCAGAGAAATAAAATAAATACATTATTTCACCATAGTAAAGGAGCTCAATCTTATTCACAACTGGAAAAATAAAATAAAAAATATTGCTTAGAAGATTGATCCATTTAAAAATGCGAATAATGTCAATCTTATTCACAACTGGAAAAATAAAATAAAAAATATTGCTTAGAAGATTGATACATTTAAAAATGTGAATAATATTTAGAACAGATGTGAGCAAACAGGCTTTTAAATTTATTTTTGATACTACATAAATTGGTATTTCTTCTTTAACTTAATTATTACAAAAATTTTAAATGCAAATACCCTTTGACTCAGCAGTTGCTCTGTCAGGGATTTCTCCTAGAGAGGTGCTCAAAAATATGCACAGTGTTATTCATATTGTTATATCTTAATAGCAAAACTAAAAAATGGTTTAAATACACATTGGAAAAAATTAAACGTCTCTCAATAGATTTTGTCCATCTACCAATGAAATACAATGTAAACAACTATTTATAAAATTTTGACTTTATAAGACATGATATTGAATAATCACAAAAGATATTTTCTTAAGTGAAAAAAATCACAGAATATTTTGCACAGGTTCTTAAATGTGTTTCAATAAAGGGATCTAGGGGAGCTGTCTGTATTTGTTGTATCTACATGAAAAAAAATTCAAAATTATAACTATGATTTATTCTAAGGAGGGAACTGGAGAACTTTAAGAGAGAAACAGGAGGTAATATGCATTTCTATATACACTTTCTTTTTTAAAGATCATTTACAAGTACCTATATTACTTGTTTTGAGAAAAATAATTAAGGTAAAAGTATTGATTATCACTCATCCCATTAAAAAACATTCATAATATCTATATCAAGCATGAACATATCAAAACTTATTAATCCTTATTCTCTATTATTTCTCACTCTTTTTTTTTTCCCTTGGGACAGCGTCTCCATTTTTCGTAACCTGTTCCATTGCTATAGCTATGGGGATCCATTTCATCATAATGGTAATGATATGCGGTGCCATAATCATATATTGTAAGTAATAGTAGAGGAGTGGATAGAGAATTCTCCATTTAACAATTGTAATGCATTACTTTGATTAGTATTCAGAAGCACAGAAACATAAACTAGCAATATTATACACATTCTCAAGTTTCTGCTATTCTTGTAAAAATGTGTTAACTACTTTGGTTAGGATTATGTTACTAACCACATAAGCCCTTTTAATAAATTTATTTTTTTATTATTGAAATGCCCTTTACATACAATGTTATATTAGTTTCAGGTGTGCAATGTAATGATTCATAATTCTATACATTACTCAATGCTCACAATGATGAGTGTATTCACCATCTGTCACTATACAATGTTATTATAACATTATTTACTATATTCTCTATGCTGTACTTTCTATTTTCATGATTTATTTGTTTTATAGCTGGAAGTTTGTACCTCTCAATCCTCTTAATTATTATTTTAATAGCATTATTCAACAAGGAAGCTCCAATTTCTTTGCAAGGTATGTGAAAATTTTCTAATATTTTGAAGTAAAAATTATATGTATCTCCATATGATTGGGTATTAGCATGTATCCAATAGTGTAAACAAGAGAATGTATGAGAAAATGATTACTTCTTGTCCATAATTCATATATTCCAATTTTTTTTTACTTTTTTATTTTTTAACAACAAGAATGCTTCCAAAAAGCCAAAGATATTTATTTTTGGCATCTCTCTCTGTATACGTAAATGTGTAAAGATATGTTATTAGAGATGATCAAATCGATTTATCTGGAATGTTAGAGTTGGAATAAAAAAGTATTTAACCTATCTAGACAAAATCTGCTATAATGTTCAGATTTATACAGAATTAATAATATATTCTTTCTTTCTAGAAAGTTATTGTGGTCCGTGTCCTAAAAACTGGATATGTTATAGAAAGAGCTGTTACCAATTTTTTAATGAGAGTAAAAGCTGGTATCAGAGCCAAGCTTCTTGTAGGTCTCAAAATTCCAGTCTTCTGAAGATATACAGCAGAGAGGACCAGGTTGAGTATATGTTTTAATTTCCATTCCTATATTTAGTCCTAACATATGAGACAGCTCACGGCAATATGAGTCTGAAACATAAGAGAGGCACTAAGACTCAGATATAGCCACCCTAAATCTTTCTGCATCAAAAATAAGAAAGCACAAGGGCACCTGGATGGCTCGGTTAAGTGTCTGCCTTCAGCTTAGGTCATGATCTCAGGGTCCTGGGATTGAGTCCGCATCAGGCTTCCTGATCAGGTGGAGTATGCTTCTCCCTCTGTCTCTGCCCTTCTCCCTCCCCTCATTTGTGTGCTCACTCACTCTTTCTCTTTTTCTCTTGCTTGCTCTCTCTCTCTCTTTCAAATAGGTAAAATCTTTTTTAAAAATTAAAATTAAAAAATAAAGGAGAAAGGAGAAAAAATGAGTGGGAAATATCAGAAAGGGAGACAGAACATGAGAGACTCCTAACTCTGGGAAATGAACTAGGGGTGGTGGAAGGGGAGGTGGGCAAGGGGTGGGGGTGACTGGGTGATGGGTACTGAGGGGGGCACGTGATGGGATGAGCACTGGGTGTTATTCTATATGTTGGCAAATTGAACACCAATAAAAATAAATTTATTAAAAAAAGAAGAAGCTGTGGTATATGTACACAATGGAATATTACTCAGCCATTAGAAACGACAAATACCCACCATTTGCTTCGACGTGGATGGAACTGGAGGGTATTATGCTAAGTGAAATAAGTCAATCGGAGAAGGACAAACATTATATGGTCTCATTCATTTGGGGAATATAAAAAATAGTGAAAGGAATAAAGAAGAAAGGAGAGAAAATGAGTGAAGATATCAGTGAGGATGACAGAACATGAGAGACTCCTAACTCTGGGAAACGAACAAGGGGTAGTGGAAGGGGAGGTGGGCGGGGGGTTGGGGTGACTGGGTGATGGGCACTGAGGAGGGCACTTGATGGGATGAGCACTGAGTGATATGATATATGTTGGCAAACTGAACTCCAATTAAAAAATAAAAATTTAAAAAAAAATAAAAATTTTAAAATTTTAAAAAAATAAAAAATAAGTAAAAAATAAATAAAAATAATAAAGCACAGAAATTATAGGTACAGTGTTTAAGTGAGAAATAGGCTAGAGGACAGAATGCATTTCCCCAAATGTGGGGGGAAAATGATTAAATGATTATGGCTTTGTATTCACTAAAATTCTGAGCACTGATTTTATTTATGGTCTCCAACAGGATTTCTTTAAATTGGTAAAATCATATCATTGGATGGGACTAATACAAATTCCAACAAATGGATCCTGGCAGTGGGAAGATGGCACCATTCTCTTGCCCAATCAGTAAGTCTGTAATAATAGGTGTCTATTTGTGGATTTGTCCCTAAGCTATCCCTATGGTCATTCAATTACCATATGTTACTTCATGCAATGCCAGGATGTTCCCATATTCTAATAGATTCAGCAAAATACTCTAAAGACGTAAGTTTAGGAGATTGTGAAGCAGAGCAGCCAATACCAATAATAATGAGTAATATTAATTGTTTACTATGTGCCAAGTACTGTGCAAAGTAAGTCTAATCCTATGACTATGCTCATTTTACAGATAAGGAGACTAAGCAGAGAGGCTAGGTATCATATTCTTTCTTGAAGTTATCACCTGAATTGTTGAGGTATAATTAAATTCAATAAACTTACATATTTAAAGTGTACAATTTGAAAATTTTTGAGTAATGTCTACATCCACAAAACCATTAATGACATCAAAATAATTAACATATTTATCACTTACAAAACTTTCTCCTTGCACCCTTGCAGTAATTTCTCCTCCTTACCCCTTTATACCTACCTCTTCCTGTCCCCGGGCAACTAATCACTTTCTCTCACTGTAGATTAATTTGCATTTTATGGAATTTAAAATAAATGAAGTTCTGTTGTATGTTCTGTTCTTATGTCTGGTTTTTTCACTCAGTATAATCATTTTGAGATTCAGTCACCTCATAGCATATATAAAAAATACTTTATTTTATTCCTGAGAAATATTCCATTTATAAGTGTAGTTCAACTTGTTTATCCTTTCATCTGTTGATGAATATGTGAGTACTTTCCAGTTGTTGACTATTAACAATAAAGCTACTTGCTATGGATATTCGTATACAACTCTTACATAAACATATGCTTTCTTTTCTCTTATATAAACACCTAGGAGTGGGATGGTTGGGTAATATAATAGGTATGTTTGACTTTCTAAGAACTGCCAAACTATTATCCAAAGTGACTATGCCATTTTACACACTCTCTGGCAGTGTGTGAAAGTTCTAGTTGCTCTACATCCTGGTCTACACTTGCTACAATCAATCCCTTACAGTTTAGCCATTCTAATGGGTGTGTAGTAGTATCTCATCGTGAATGTAACTTGCACTTCCCTAATGAAAAACAATGATGAACATCCTTTTTGTGCTTATTTACCATTTATTTTTCAATCTTTTATTTCATTAGTTTCTGCTCCCCACTTCCACTGTATTTCTTTCAGCATTCACTCACATAGGCTCCTCATTCGACCTTCTGTATTAAAGGACTGTATTAAAGGACTCCCATTTGCCTCACCCCTAAAAAGGGGGGGGAATCACCATAGTTTCTTCAGTGAAAACTGATCTTTTGATTTTATTTTTTTCTAATAGAGACAGTCTGGCTACTAATATGTGAAATAATTTAACAATAGCCTCACATAGTTTGAGATATTGTGTTTTCATTTTCACTCAGTTCAAAATAGCTTCTAAATTCCCCCTTTGCATTCTTCTTTGATTCATGGATTTTTCAGAAGTGTGTTAGTTTCCAACATTTGGGAATTTTCCAGGGATTTTTCTTTTACTGAGTTTTAATTTAGTCCCATTTTATCAAAGAACATTCTTTGTATGACTCGAATCTACTTAAACTTATTGAGATTGGTTTTAAAGACAAAACTATGGCCTATCTTTAGAAATGTTCTATCTGCACTTGAACAGAAGATATATTACTCCCTTCTTGTGTAGAGTGGCCTATAATTTCAGTTAAGTCAAATTGGTTGAGAGTGTTGCTCAAGCCCTCTATAACCTTTCTAATTTTCTACTTGTTCTATCAATTACTGAGACAGGTACTGAAATTTTGGACTATAATTATAGATTTATGCATTCTACTTGCATTTCAAACAATCTTTTCCTAATATATTCTGAATTTCTATTGATAAGTTATTGGATTGTTGCATACTCTTAATGAGTTATGACTCTTATCATTATGTAATGAGCTCTTTTTCCATAATGAAATTTTGTGCTATGAAATTCTATTTTATCAATTATAAATATAGCCATTCCAGGTTCTCTTTGATTAGTGTTAATGTGGTCTTTATTTTCCATTCCTTTATTTTTAACCTGTGTGTGCATTTATATTAAAAGTAAACCTCTTGGGGTGCCTGGGTGGCTCAGTCTGTTAAGTGTCTCCCTTCAGTTTAAGTCATGATCTCAGGCTCCTGGGATCAAGCCCCATTTGGGCCCTGGCTCAGCGGGGAGCCTGCTTCACTCTCTGCCCCCCCCCCCCGCCTGTGCGTGCATTCTCTCTCGTGCTCTCTCTCTGTCTCTCAAACAAATAAAAATCTTTAAAATAAAAAGTAAACCTCTTATAAACAGAATACAATTGGAGTCATTTTTTTCATCCAATCTGACAATCTCTGCCCTTTTAATAGGAAGCTTAAGACATTTACTTTCTGTAATTATTTACATGATTAATATGCCTTCATCTTGCTATTTGTTTTTAGTCATCCAATTTGCTGCTTTCTTTCTCAATCTTTTAAAAACATTTTAGGGATCCCTGGGTGACACAGCGGTTTAGCGCCTGCCTTTGGCCCAGGGCGCGATCCTGGAGACGAGGGATTGAATCCCATGTCGGGCTCTCGGTGCATGGAGCCTGCTTCTCCCTCTGCCTATGTCTCTGCCTCTCTCTCTCTCTGTGTGTGACTATCATAAGTAAGTAAGTAAGTAAATAAATAAATAAATGATTAAAAACATTTTAAGTTATGCTAACATGTTATCTCTTTTCTTAGCTTTTAGCTAGTGCTATTTGTTTTTGTTTCAGTTTGCTCTGTCGCTTATTGAATATATCTTTAAAAAAAAAATAAATTCAACTTAGTTGGGATCCCTGGGTGGCTCAGCGGTTTAGCACCTGCTTTCTGCTGGGGACGTGATCCTGGAGTTCAAGGATCGAGTCCCATGTCCGGCTCCTTGCATGGGGCCTGCTTCTCCCTCTGCCTATGTCTCTGCCTCTCTCGCTCTTTCTCTGTGTCTCTCATGAATAAATAAATATATAAATAAAATCTTTAAAAATAAATAAATAAATAAATAAATAAATAAATAAATAAATAAATAAATTCAACTTAGTTGACTTAGAGTGTATTGTTAATTTCAGGGGTTGTTCAGTTGCATATAATACCCAGTGCTCACTACATCACATACCCCCCTTAATGCCCATCCCCAGTTACCCCATCTCCCCATCCTCTAGCCACCCCATTTGTTCCCTAGAGTTAAGATTCTCTTATGGTTTATCTCCCTCTTTGTTTTTATCTTATTTTCCTTCCCTTCCTATGTTCATCTCTCTTGTTTCTTAAATTCCACATACGAGTGAAATCATATGGTATGTCTTTCTCTGACTGACTTATTTACTAACCAGTATTATATCACTTACGTATATGATAGAATTCTTCCAATGGTATAATTCCATTTCTCCCTTACTAAACTTTGTGCTATTTTTTCTAACTCTCTTGATATACAATTAACATATAACATTATGTAAGTTTAAGATGTACAATTTGATGATTTGATACACATATGTATTGTGCAATGATTATCACATAAAGGTTAGTTAATATATTTATCACCTTCAGGTGACCACAATTTGTGTGTGTGTGTGTGTGAAAACATCTAAGATTTACTCTCTTAGCAACTTTCAAGTATATAATATAGTATTGCTAACTATGGTCAAGATAGTATACTAGATATATTACTAGATAATATATTATTAGATATATATTATTAGATAATATATATTACATACATCAGGTTGCTCATTTGAGATCTTTTCTCTCCATGTAGGCATCTATACCTATAAAATTCGCTCTTAGAACTGATTTCCTGTATCCCATAGGTTTTGGCATGTTGTGTTTTCATTTTTTCATCTCAAGACACTTTTTGATGACCTTTTTGATTTTTTACTTATCCTTGAATCATTAGTTGTTCAGGAGCATGTTGCTTAATTGGCATGTATTGGTGAAATTTTCTGTTTTTCTCTCTCTTTTTAAGACTTTATTTATTTATTCATGAGAGACACAAAGAGAGAGAGAGAGAGAGAGAGGCAGAGACACAGGCAGAGGAAGAAGCAGGCTCCGTGCAAGGAGCCCGATGTGGGACTCGATCCCGAGTCTCCAGGATCGCACCCTGGGCTGAAGGCAGCGCTAAACCACGAGCCACCTGGGCTGCCCCTCTGTTTTTCTCTTGTTATTAATTTCTAGTTTCTTACCATTGTGGTCAGAAACGATTCTAGATATGATTTTTAAACTTAAATTTGTTAAGGCTTGTTTGGGGCTCAACATATAATCTATCCTGGAAAATGTTTCATGTGATCTTGAGAAGAATGGGTAATCTGCTTTTGTTGGACTGAATGTTCTGAATATGTCTGTTAGGTTCATTTGGTCTATTGTATTATTCAGATTTACTGTTTCCTTATTAGTTTTCCCATGATCTCTTCAATGTTGAAAGTATGATATTGAAATCTCCTATGTTATTATATTGCTATCTATTTCTCCTTTCAATTCTGTTAATTGAATTCTGTGCTTTATATATTTATGTGCTCCAACATTGGGTGAATATATACTTAAAATTGTTTTATCCTCTTGATTTAATTGACCCTTTTACTACAATATAGTGATCTTCTTATCTTATATAAATGATTTTGACATAAAGTTTATTTGGTCTGATGTATCTGTAGTCACCCCTGTTATCTTTTGGTTATCATTTGCATGGAATATCACTCTCCAATCATTCACTTTTGGCTTATATGTGTCCTCAGAGTAAAGTAAGTCTCTTGCTTGCAGCATATTGATGTATCTCATTTTTAATCCATTTAGCTACTCTGTAATACATATTTTCCCTACTTCTGGCTACTGTAATAACTTTTCTTTATAACTGGATTTGATTTGTTTATAAAATGCCTTGGATTAGTATTTTTTTAAAGATTTATTTATTTATTCATGAGAGACACAGAGAGAGAAAGAGGCAGAGACACAGGCAGAGGGAGAAGCAGGCTCCATGCAAGGAGCCCAAGGTGGGACTAAATCCTGGGACTCCAGGATCACGCCATGGCGGAAGGCAGACACTCAACCACTGAGCCACCCAGGTGTCCCAGTTTTTGTTTGTTTGTTTGTTTGTTTGTTTGTTTTTCGTATTTCTTATGCTTGCATTTTGTTGAGACTCCTGGATCTATGAGTTTGTAATTTTCAAGAAAAATTAGAAAATTTATTACCATTATTTCTTCAAATATCTCTCCTTCTTCATTTCTCTTTCCTCCCCCTCAGAAACACTACAATTACAGGTACACCAAGCAAACTGAAATCAGGATGAAGTTAACTGGCACTCTATGTTTTTTCTTTGTGTTTCATTTTGGATATACTCTGTCATCCTGAATTCAAATTTGTTTATCTTTTCTCCTACAATGTCTAATGTCCACTACCCTCTCAAGTTATAGTTTATCTCAGACATTGACCTTTTCATTTTGGAAGTTTGATTTGGCTGATTTTTTAATCTTCTATGTATTTCTTTCACTTTTTTGAATATCCAGAATTCAGCCATGATAGCTGACATAATGTCCTTGTCTGTTCATTCTAACATCTGTGTTAGTTCTGGGTCAGTTTTGATGGATTTTTTTTCTCATTATGGTCATACTATTTTTTTTTTTTTGCTTAACATGTATTTTTCTATTAAGTTTCACAGACTGTGAATTTCATCTTTTTGTTGCTATGTATTTTTTATTTATTTATTATTTTTTTAAAATGTAATTCTTTTTTTTTTAAATTTTTTATTTATTTATGATAGTCACACAGAGAGAGAGAGAGGCAGAGACACAGGCAGAGGGAGAAGCAGGCTCCACGCACCAGGAGCCCGACGTGGGATTCGATCCCGGGTCTCCAGGATCGCGCCCCGGGCCAAAGGCAGGCACCAAACCGCTGCACCACCCAGGGATCCCGTATTTTTTATTTATAAAACATGAGTTTGTTTTTTTTTTCTGAGACACAAATAAGTTACTTAGAAACAACTTGATCTGTTTTGACCTTGCTTTTAAGCATTATTAAGATGTTCAGTCTAGAGGCATCTGGGTGGCTCAGTCAGTTAAGTGTCTGCCTTTAGCTCAGGCCATGATCCCAGGGTCCTGGAATTGAGCCCTGCTTCAGGCTCCCTGCTCAACAGAGAGTCTGCTTCTCCCTCTCCCTCTAACCCTCTCTGCCACTCATATTTTCTCTCTCTCAAATAAATAAAATCTTTTTTAAAAAAAGGATGCTTAGTCGACAATTAATTATCCTCTACTACTGAAGCAAGACACCCAAAGCCTTTTGAAATATGAAGTTTTACCATATGGCTGGTGAAAATGGGCATGATTCTAGACTCTGTGCAAACACTAGGTAATTTCTTCTTTGTTCTTGGGTACTTATGTACATTAATCAATACTCTGCTGAATACTCAAGTGAGACGTTCTGCATATCCTCAGTTTTCTTTATTTGTTCAACTCTCTCATATCAAGTACTGTGGCCTGTGAACTTCAACTGTCTTGATTCTGGACTCCCAGATATACTATGTATTCTGTTTCTATAGCCTGCTCTTTTAACCACTTGATTATACAGCTCAACTGTGTACAGCAGAACCAAGTGACAATATCCTAATGCTCATAAAGCTTATGAATATAGCCTTACCCCTTTGGAGTAGGATATCTAATAGCTAAGGAAGCTCTCTTAAAAGGCTGCTTATAACACTTAGGACACCTTACTTTTCACTACATCACTTAATAATTTCAACATTTTAGCACAAAGTTCAGGAATGAAACCTAAGTGGCTTGTCACATTTGGTGCCCTTCGTCTCATAATAGCAAAGAGGAAACAGAAATTGTCTAGACTATAAAAGTTTGTAATTCCTTATTTCAAGTATATTTTACTTATTTGAACCTTTAATTCTGTGCTACGTAATAAAAACATTACAACATATTAGTGCTAATGTTAGGTTAATTAGGTGCTTTTTTTTTAATTTATGATAGTCAGAGAGAGAGAGAGAGAGAGAGAGAGGCAGAGACATAGGCAGAGGGAGAAGCAGGCTCCATGCACCGGGAGCCCGATGTGGGATTCGATCCCGGGTCTCCAGGATCGCGCCCTGGGCCAAAGGCAGGCGCTAAACCGCTGCGCCACCCAGGGATCCCCAGGTGCTTTCTTTCTGTCAGACACAGTTTTAAGTACTCTATGTATATCTTCTCATTGAGGACTCTTAAAAACCATGTAATAGGGGTCATTTTTAACCTAATTTTGCTAGTAAGAAACAGCGCCTTAAAGTGTATAATAATTCACCTAAGTTATAAAATGAGTAATAGTTGTGGTAGGAATTCAAATAAATGTCCTTCTTACTCTATAGCCAGAATTATCATTAAATGACTTTTAAAAAATCTCTTCTCAAAGGACCTGGGTGGCTCAGTCAGTTGGGCAGAGACTCTTGGTTTCAACTTAGGTCATGATCCCATGGGTCCTGAGATTAAGCCCCACATTGTGCCCTGCACTTAGAAAAGAGTCTGCTTGAAGATATTCTCCCTTCCCCTCCACCACTTTCTCTCTCTCTCTCTTTAAAATAAATAATCTTAAAAAAATCGATCCTCACTAATTCTGAAGTTTACTTTGCTTCTCTAATGATTAATTGGCAGGGATCGATGCATAACCCTTTACCGTCATCTATTTCTTTCAAACCTCCCCTTATGTTTATTGTCACAGGGACTACCTACCCTACCTCATTATATATTTGGAATCTGGAGGCCCCAGTATACCTTAGAATTGACCTGGGATAACCTTATTTCTGTATGGCTTAAAATTTTATTTTTAATAAAAACCAGTTTATTCTGTAGAAACACTAATGAAATTTGTATCACCTCATCTTAATATTTTCCACGCTGCAAGTATAAATTTTTGTTTTAGAAGCAAAAGCAAAACAGCTAGCAAAATAAGTTTCAGTTTATGCATGTGATAAATGTTTGTAAAAGAGTTACTCAATTTCCAGGAACTATGCAGAGATAATGATAGAGATGAATAAGACACAGTTCCTTCAAGGGCTTCACACTTCGGTCAAATATATGATTATAAGCAAATAAGTACAATCCAGGGTAATTAGCACTCTAGCAGACATGTGATACAAATGGCATGGGAAAACACGCAGAAACTGAAGGATAAAAAAACAAAGTGAGATTTAAAAATAAAGTTCTATAAACATTGGGGTGCAGGTGTTCCAGCACTTCACTGCATCTGTATCTTTGGGGTAAAACCCAGCAGTCCATCAAAAGAAGAATGGATAAAGAAGATGTGGTTTATGTATACAACGGAATATTACTCAGCCATTAGAAATGACAAATACCCATTTACTTCAACGTGGATGGAACTGGAGGGTATTATGCAGAGTGAAATAAGTCAATGAGAGAAGGACAAACATTATATGGTCTCATTCATTTGGGGAATATAAAAAATAGTGAAAGGGAATAAAGGGGAAAAGAGAGAAAATGAGTGGGAAATATCAGAAAAGGAGACAGAACATGAGAGAGGGTGACAAAACATGAGAGACACCTAACTCTGGGAAATAAACAAGGGGTAGTAGAAAGGGAGGTGGGCGAGGGGTTGGGGTGACTGGGTGACGGGCACTGAGGGGGGCACTTGGGATGAGCACTGGGTGTTATGCTATATGTTGGCAAATTGAAATCCAATTAAAAAAATTAAAATAAATAAATAAATATAAAAATAAGGCTCTAGTGTGCATAGTCTGAAAGCAACCAAGAGCAGTTAATAAAAATTTCTTAATTTTTTTCCTATATTAGCTAGTGTTTTCTATATGGACTGAGTTTCTTCTCTTGCCCTCCTGAATACATACTATCTGACAATGATCTTTCTTTATTTTATTGTTTAAATTCACATTGATGCATCCTCACTGTTTCCTTGACCTTCATTTTCACACCTGTTCCTGGCAGAAGACAAATCACCAGCTTCCAAGGCAAAATATATACACATATATAACTATTTCTACATGGAATGCTTACACACACACACACACACACACACATTATGTATGTGTGTGTATATATACACACACATACGTAATTTATAAGAGAATTTTACAATTTTTATTTGCTTACCAAGTAAAGTTGCATATATCAAAGGAGATTGTTTATTTTTGCATAAAACATGACATTTTCTGGTTTCTAAATTGAATTTTAAATTCATTTCTAATCTATTCACTTAAAAAAAAACATTTTAAAACTTTCTTTTCATCTAGGTACATATATCAAAAGATTCCAGACTTCTGAAACTAATTTACAATGTAGAAAAAAATAGTGACATACAATTTATAATAGAATGAAACTTTTGCACTGAGGGGGGCACTTGAGGGATGAGCCTTGGGTGTTATGCTATATGTTGGGAAATTGAACTCCAATAAAAAATAAAAAGAAAAATAAAAAGAATGAAACTTTAGCTTTTATAACTGAGTTGGCTATATTTTGCATATCTTTTAACAAAGAAAGACAAGGCATGGTAGTAAGACCTCCTGAGATGATATTATTTCAATACCTATATTTAAATAAATGTTATTGCATTTTTATAAGTATATATTAACAAAGTCACAAATATAACATATCTTTCTCTCTAATCTAGACTAACAATGGTTGAAATGCAGAATGGAACCTGTGCAGTTTATGGATCAAGTTTTAAAGGTTACACTGAAAACTGTCTAACTCCAAACACATACATCTGCATGCAGAGGATTGTATAAAAGCTTATGACTTATAAAATATAAAGGATTAAAAAAACAGAAGCCATTTTTGGGGTGCCTGAGTGGCTCAGTCGGTTAAGCGTCTGCCTTCAGTTCAAGTTGTGATCCCAAGTCTTGGAATCAAGCCGATGGGGCTCCCTGCTCAGCTAGAAGTCTGCTTCTCCCTCTGTCCCACCCCTGCTCATGCTCTCTCCCTCATTCTAATTTCTCTCAAAAAAATACAATAAAATAAAATCTTTAAAAAAAAGTGCCATTCTCTGAACCTCCTCTGTGAAGAAAACTTCCAGAAGAAAAGTCTGCCAATAGTTATTGAATTATTTTTCCATCTATAATGTGACACAAAAATAACCTTGCAGGGAAATAAAGGTCAATAATTAAATAATTCATCTTCTATATGAATGCTTTGTTTAATTTTTGTAAAATTTCTTGTAATGAACATATTCATTTTTACATTTAATAAACTGTTGATGAAATGCAGGGTTAAACTAAACTTCAAACTACGATTTTATTAGATGTGCACAAATATTACACTAAGAAGGCTTACAGAACTTTTCAAACTCAAAAATTTTGCTAACCTGTTTTTTATTTCAAGGGATAGACCCACCTAAAAACTTAAGATAGGTGCATGTAAAGTTTTGCCTCCCCCTCTTGATCTCTGATGAGATGCAGGAGAAACTATAAATCTCCATTGAGTATTTTTAACCACAAATGAACCTCCATATTAGTTTACAAACTGCCTGACAGCCAAATCCAAAAATACTGCATTCAAAAATTTATTTAAAGCTGAATATTGGTCTATTCATAATGCTAATAGTTTCTTCAGGAAAATAACTTCAACTCACTTTTGAAAGAAAGCTGACAGATAACCTTCCAAATTTCTTGGACACAAAGACAAATATTGAGGAGTGGGGAGGAGGAGGGAGAGGGATAGAAACAGGGAAAAATATAGTAAATATGATAGTACTTTAATATTTAAACAGTCTGGATAAAGGTATAATCTTTTGTCTATTTTGCAGGCTTTTTCTAAGTGTAAAATTATGTCAAAATAAAAAGCTCAAGCAAACAAACACACATGAACCTGGAGTCATCCTTGAAGTCTTTCTTGTACCCACAACTTCTAGTACTTCCATAATCTGATTGATATATGTATATCTATTTAAAGTGGACATATATTCTGTCTCCCTTTCTGATATTTCCCACTTATTTTTCTCCTTTCCCCTTTTACAGAACATGAAAGACTCCTAACTCTGGGAAATGAATTAGGAGTGGTGGAAGGGCAGGTGGGCAGGAGGTGGGGGTGACTGGGTGGCGGGCACTGAGGTGGGCACTTGACAGGATGAGCACTGGGTGTTATTCTGTATGTTGACAAATTGAACACCAATAAAAAATAAATTTATAAAAAAATAAATAAAGTGGACATATATATGGATATTTAAAGTGGAGGTATATCTATATAATCAGAGTCTCCATTTCTTACCTTCATTACTGTCACTGTAATACATTGGGTTGTGTTTTGTATATACAGGGATTTGAAATGAATGTTTAAATTAGAATGGTAGATTGGAAAGACATGATCTTGAGAGATATAATCCATCAAAGCAGCACATTGAAGTTTCTAATTTTCAATATCAATTTTTTCTGCTGCACAATTATCACTAAGCTTCATAAATGCATTCACTATACAATAGTGTACAACACAAAGTGGATGTATGGGCATCTGATATACAGATAACTGTTCTATGGCAATTCAGAATCACTGCATTGTTTCAAATCTTCAACCACTATAGCATTCATAATCCAATAATAAGTTGGTTAACTGTATATATAATTAATTGTAGACAATTGTTACCACTTTTCCAGGAGAGTTTTATAAGGGTGTTTGGCTTTTCAAACTTCTTACTAGGAGAATTTTATTATTAATATTCAAAAATTTTGTTTTAGCTAATATTATCACTAATGGTCAGAAATTTCTTCTCTCGGAGCATGTGGGTGGCTCAGTTGGTTAATCATCTGCCTTCTGCTTAGGTTCAGGATCCTAGGAATCTGTGATCAAGCCCTGCATTAGGCTCCCTGCTCAGTGGGGAGCCTGCTTCTCTCTCAGCCTCTCCCCCTGCTGTTGCTCTCTCTCTCTCTCAGATAAATAAATAAAATCTTAAAAAAAAAGATTCTCCTCTCCACTGCTCCATTCAATTGTTGGTGGTTTGATTTCACATTGAATGAGGAAGTCCAGAGAAGTTTCTATGCCATGATCAAAATATTTGTAATATTGATTGAAGTATATCATCATAGTCCAATTATCTCAAACTGTACTGTATATTATAATTTCATTGAACTCTTTTAGAATACAATTGTATACCTCCCACTTACAGATAGCCTAATAAAATTCTCTAAGACCTAGAAATCTTTTTTAGATAGTATGTAGTGAATTGAATAGTGTCCCCCTTAAAATTCATGCCTATCCAGAACTCAGAATGTCACCTTATTTGGAAATAGGTTCTTTATAGATATAATTAAGAATCACAATGAAATCATATTGGATTCGGCCCTAAATCCAATGAGAGTATTCTTATGAGGGAGAAATTGGCACACAGAGATGCAGCAAAGGTAGCAATGATAAATTGAAGGTATATACTTGAATTAGGCCAAGAACTGTCAACTATCATCACCATGGCCTCAGGCAATTTAAGCATATCTTCCATTTTCACTGAGATTTACTATATTTTCTCTATACATTAGCATTTTGGTAAATAAATTCTACAGCATACACAGTACTACAAAATTGTTATTAATTATCTATAATACTTAATTTTCTCCCTGGAAAAGTTTAGCTAACTCCTTCAGAAGAAAGAAGCTTCTAGAAAAAAAACAACTGTACCAACACCTTGATTTCAGACATGTGCCCACCTAACCTGTGTGGGAATAAATTTCTGTTGTTTTAAGCCACTCTGTTTGTGATAATTTGTTATGACAGCCCTAGCAAACAAATAGAAAGTACACTTGGTGGGTCTTAGAGAGGTGGAAGGCACACTGGAAGAAAATTTCATTATGTGCACATGTCTTAGAGTAAAACAAACCACATGACAATTAAAGTGATGCATCTCATGTACTCACTTTATAATCTGTGCAAGTTTATTCACTAAATTACCTTTTAATAAAATGCAAAAGTATATTACTTCAGTCATAGAACTCATAAGCAATTGAAATGAATTATGAAAGTAAAATATTAGTTTAGTAAACTATTTTACTCCCTTCTATCCATCTATCCTGTCGTCTCCTGGTTGATTTATTACAGATATCTGTTACAAAATCTAACACCTGTTCACATCCACATTGACTATTTAGATTTCAAAGAAAATAATATTATTCTGGACTGAAATTTTAAAACAGCAAGAAACTTACTTGTGCAGGTTAACATCTGTGCCATCAAGCCAGGTCCATTTCAGTTGCTCATTGTTGTAGTATAAACTGATCAAAAACTTTTCTTGAAGCATATCATATTGCATCTTTGACAATTTTATTACAAAATTCTGCAGAGCACGGAAAATAAATTAAAAAGCAGAACATTTCCCGAGAAAGAAGAATATAATGGTTCAAAAATATATATTTCACTTACAGACACTTTCCTTTAGAATTTGTTTCAGTATACCAAAGGAATCTGGAAGAACTAACCCTAGATTTTTTATCTATAGGCAAAGGAATCCAGTAGCTAATGACTCATTTGTTCACTAGGCAATTATTTTTCCAGTCTACATCACATTCTAGGCACTTTCTTAAGTTAAGGATTGTAAAAGTGAGAAAAAGTCATATAGGTGTAGTCATTTGGATTAGGTGCTTGAAAATAAAACTTTAAGTGAGTCTACATAATAAGCAGTGACCTATGCTACAAGAATGGAAATAAAAAATCAAAGGAGGAAAATTAGCAAATGATTTTAACAGGTCTTGGTGAACCAAGGATGTTTTCCAAAGGGATTATCTAATAAATTAAAAATCTTAAAACTGTGATACATTAATCAGAAGAAGATAGTTTGGGTGGGAGGTGGAAGAGATGAAACATATCACAGGCAGATGGGACAAGGACATGAAAGAGCACAGGGGACCATGATGAATTTAAATAACTTCAAAATAGCTGAAGACTATAGCGTACCTCCCTTAGAACAGTGTGGTGGAGAATCTTTAACAGCAAATAGAGATCAGGCTGCAAGTGGCCTTATACACATGTGTGTGGTTTTTTTTTGTTTTTAAGATTTCATTTATTTAAGAGACACACAAAGAGAGAGAGAGAAAGAGAGAGAGGCAGAGACACAGGCAGAGGGAGAAGCAGGCTCCATGCAGGGAGCCCAATGTGGGAATCGATTCCGGGACTCCAGGATCACACCCTAGGTCGAAGGCAGGCGCTAAACCGCTGAGCCACCCATGGATCCCCTCCACATGTGTTTTGTACATTAATCTAAGGGCTAAGGGAAGCCCTCAAGTGTTGTTGAAGCATACTCTCATGATTACAGTGAAATTGTAAAGATATCTGTGACTGCAGTATAGAAAGTGTTTCAGAAGAATATAAAACTTGAGTGCTTTCGTTCTTAAGATTTTCAGATATTGAAATTTATGAAACAAAATCTTGTAATTCCCATCTCTTCTTCCATAGTCAATTTAAGAAATCTTAACTCTAAACCAATGCTGTAATGCTGACATTCTTCCCAGGAACGCATGTCCCTTGAAAAATAGTAACAGTTTTCTCCACGTTGATGCCAGTTGCTTGAACAAGTAGGATATTTCCAAGCTAGAAAAAAAAAAAAGAACACTCAAATCCTCCCTCCATCAGTGCAAGTCACAAGATATAAGTTTACATTGCAAAGCTACCCTCTACAAACAAAAATATTATTGAAGTTTTACATTATAAACTCTATCCACTTAAATTTAGTGTTACATTTATGCTAAAGTAATAATTCACCTCATTGAAAACATTTTGGTCTTCAAGATTCATAGGATGCATGTCAGGAAATATTTTTTAATAACAAAATTAGAAATGTATTGAAGCATATCTAATATATATCTCTTAAAAATCTCAACACAATGTCTTTGTGTTCAAAATGAAAAAATATGCATACGTTTATTTCTTAAAAAGCTATATGTTTCAAGAATTAGGCAGTGAGGAACTATATAAATAAATCACAAAGAGATATCCAATAAAAATCGATGATGCCTTGTCAAAATATT